CAAAAGAAATATAAAAAAGTTGCAACAATGTTGAAAGTAGTGTTGAATTTTTGAAAAGTTGCGTTAACAACAGTCTGTTACCAAAATATATATATATATATAAATATATATATATATATATATATATATATATATATATATATATATATATATGAGTGAGTGAATGAATGAATGAACGAACGAACGAAACGAACGGACGAATGAATGAATGAATGAAAAGAAGATTGTCTTGATTAAATTGATTTCGACGTAGAGCGCTTTTGAAAAATTTTGTTTAAAAAAGCGCTATATAATTATTCAAATAATAAAAATAGTGTGTAACTTTACTAAAAGAGAGTTTTGTTTTTTTTTTAAATAAAGTTTATTCATCGTGTGTGAAATCAGACTATTGGTGAAAGATTTGATTTGTCTCGCAGAATGTTACACAATGCTGCTGCCCAACTGTTATTGATTGCAATCAATAATACGTGAAGATAACGCATTGAAATGATAATAAAAACTAGAAACACAACCTCAAACACACATTTGGCCAATTCATTGTAAATAATCAATCAATCAATGTTTTATCGTCTTTACATGTAGAAAATATTCTCGTTGTAGCGTTGTGGTTGTTTTAGATAACGTTTTAAACTGTATATAAACATCTTTTGGGTTTTACATATGTTGGCGTGTGTATTTGTGTGTGTGTACGTATGTGTCTGTGTGCGTGTGTGTGTGTGGTGTGCGTGTGTGTGTGTGTGTGTTTTGGTACGTTGAAATCAATATATACATACATATATATATATATATATATATATATATATATATATTGAATGAATGATTTATATATATATATATATATATATATATATATATTGAATGAATGATTTATATATATATATATATATATATATTATCTATTTACGTATTAACGTGTTACAATTGAAACAAAATATAAACAACAAAGCTTAATAAATTGTCTCTACAGATGTGTGTGTGTATGTGTATACGCTGTCTTATCTGATGTTACAATCTGAATGTAAATAAAAGCGAAATCAGTAACATCATTAAGTTAGTAGCTACTACCTAGCTCATTCAATCATTCATAGTGGTTGACTAGCTATGTAGATTGATTGTCTGTTAGGGTTGTGTATCAATACTATATATAGTATATACCTATTCATAGTGGTTGACTAGCTATGTAGATTGATTGTCTGTTAGGGTTGTGTATCAATACTATATATAGTATATACCTATGTTAGCATTTCTGAAAGGAAAGTTTGAAAATAAATATAGCCTACTCATATATTAAATAGATAGAGAAAGATAGAGAGAGGGAAAGAAAGAAAGAAAGAAAGAAAGAAATATACGTACCTGTTATTTATATATATATATATATATATATATATATATATATAATTTGATTTAGGCATACCTCCATTGTAATGATTTATTTTTACTCATGTTTGCATAGCGTTATTATCCGCATACAAGACATATGCATATATACATACTGTTGAATAAACTGTTACAAAATCTTCTTACACATTGATATGATTCATTCTAGTAAAGGTTAAAGGTTGAAGTTTCATGCTATTAAAGGTTAAAGGTTCATGGTTCATTAAAGGTTAAAGGTTCATGCCATTAAAGGCTAAAGTTTCATGCCATTACAATTCAAGTCATCATACATAACGCTTGTACATGCAACGCCAATAACTGCACTCAACTATGTTGATGTTACTTAGTTACTTGCGTGTTATATCTTCACCGATGTAACAGAGGAGAGATGTTATTATTAATATTTTATTAATAATTTACTAAATAATAAGACCAAAAAATAAATTTTTAATTCTTTTATTACAAAAAATATTTGAACGTATCAAGTCTTTACAGTTATTAACAGATAATGTTTTCTGTACAAAATTTTCGGCTTGTATTAGCAATGGAGAGTTCATAATTAAAAGTTATAAAAAAAAGAGACAACAAGAAGAAGTTGAGTTGTGAACAAAAAAGTGAACTGACAAAAAATGTATTACAAATTTGTTTTCAATTAATTCAACAATTTACACCACTAATTAAAATCATTGATTGATTAGTCAGAAGTTTTAAATGCCATCAAAATTATAAATCAAGTGTAACTTTGAAAAAATTCAACAAACAATGAGCAATTTAATTTTTTGTGCAAATTTTTACAAAATCAGATATGCAGTAAAATTTAACAAGACAATTTTAATTTTTTAAAAAATTCTTATCTTAATTTTACGAACAAGAATATCTAATGACAATAGATTTCTTGTTGCACGCATATAACTTTGAAGTTTTAAATTTTATTCAGAATAATATTATTTCTAATATAAAAAAAATGACAAAAAACGAAAAAAACTTAAAAAATGTATTCAGCGTAAAAAACAAGAACCAAGCTAAACAACAACTAGTATGAGCATTAATATCCTGGCTAAATAATGTCTCAATCAATGTCTCGTTAATATTTCCCTACCTCAGAACTGGTCATTCAGCAGGTTTCGATGGTCACAAAAGCAATCGTAGCGCCTGAATAGAAAGGCTTGCTCGGACCAAAGAGATCAAGTCGAATTAAACTGAAGCTGTACGTCCCGTTGCTAACGTAGACGTCTATCACATCCTGTTAAAGTATATTCACTAACTCACCAGTTGTCCTACTTTAATAAATTTCTCAGTCAATCGTCAAATTTAATAAAAAAAATTGGGCACGTAGGTTAGGTAGATTTCGAATGAATGCAGTTGTACTTCTGAATTTTTTCAATGTGCAGAGGCAAATCATTTGCTCAATGCTTATGCACTCGGATTGCAATCAATCCAGGGCAGCTTTTGAAGTGAGCCTTATTTAAACGGAAAAATGTTTGTTAGCTAAAACGTTTGGGCTCAAAAGTAGAAAAATATATTGAAACAAATTTGACAGCAATGAACTCAGACGAAGGAAATGTAATAAAATGACAATTTCACAATAATCTTCACGTAAACTTCCTTAAAATCTAGGTCCCTAATGGAAATGTAATGGTTCTACAAAATGCAATTCAAAAACTCTCTTATATGAGTTACGTGGTACGCTGGCGGGCAGCATAAAATAGCTTGGCTTGTGGAGGTTTTTGCCTTCCGTTGTTCTACACAATTGTTATAAAATTCCAAGATTCTAATTAAAAGAAGAAATGTAAAAAAGTAACCTACAGTAAAACTGAAAAATTGCAATGCTATTCAAATTTGTTCAACAAACTTAACAAACCTTATCATTATGTAATGGTTCACTAAAGTTTTTTTCATAGGTCATATTTCCGGATGGAAAACCAACATGTATGCTTAGACTGAGGGCCTCTATAGCCATGTAGAAGTTAACCAAACGAGCAACGGTGTTGTTTTTGTTAGAAAAAGTGTACACGGCATGTTTTTCTGGGAACGTGAGATACTTCATTTCGAAGTCTTCATACTCCGGTGGATCTCGACAATTTTCGCACAGGCCAACGTACTGATCAGTGGTGTCACGCGGTAAGCAAGCAGCTATCGAGGAGAGATTTTGAAAAAAATAAGTTTAAAATAATTAATTAATCAATAAAATTGGTGAAATAACTTAATTGTAATGGGACATAAACTTAATTAAATTAATTAATTGATTGATTAATTGAATAATTAATTAATGTTACGAAAAGAGCGTACATTCAGTTGTCGTTACGGCCGTAGTTACAGTGGTTGACGTTGAAGCTGTCGAAAAATTGAAATTAGAAAAAAAATATAAGTTAAGTTTTTGTTGTATTTTAGTATAATCGGTAACATACCTGGTAAGGTAGTTGTGGTAGTAGATGCTGATGTTGTGGTTGTAGCTGCTGAAGTTGTGGTTGTAGCTGCTGAAGTTGTGGTAGTAGCTGCTAAAGTTGTGGTTGTAGCTGCTGATGTTGTGGTAGTAGCTGCTGAAGTTGTGGTTGTAGCTTCTGAAGTTGTGGTTGTAGTTGCTGAAGTTGTGGTTGTAGCTGCTAAAATTGTGGTTGTGGCTGCTGATAAGATAGTTGTTGCAGTTGTTACGTTGATAAGCGTTGAAGTTGCCATTTCTTAAGAAAAATCATTTCAAATTGTAAAAATTAATTTACTTTAATAACGCTCAAACACAAAAAATCGCTTAACAACGATATTTTTGTATTACAATGATATGTATTTACACTGTGATCGTGTGTGTGCACGCACGCGTGTGTGTGTGTATGTGGTGTGTGTGGTGTGTATGTGTGGTGTGTGTGTGTGTGTGTAAACACACGAGCCGGTCGCTTTTTTATTGTATTTTTGTATTTATTGATATTTTTTTACAAAAAATTTTTGTCAGTAACTACAAAAATGTTTTTGGGGCATACTTTTTAGTTAATTCAATAATAATAATAATATTTATATTAATAATAATAAATGAATTAATTACTGTTGAATAAATAAATAAATAAATGTTTCAATGCCTTATCGTGTTGTGCGTTCCGTATTTACTTTCAACAGATCCAATAAAGAATTCAAACTTTTGAATAAAATTTTAAACGAACTTATTATAAGATATGAATTTTTAAAAAAAATTCTTCATATAAAAAAAAATATTATTGTAACCCTGTGATGACGTCAGTGACTGGGTAGGGTAAATTGTGGATGAATTCGTTGAGGAACTTACTAGGGTTAGGGTTAGGAAGTGGAAGTTTTTTTAAATTGTACGTTGAAAACTATGCTGGAATAATATGATATAATAATAATATAATATAATAATAATATAATATAATTATATTTTAATATAATAATAATGTAATAAATTTAATTTAATTAACGTAATAACTTTTAGAAAATTGTTGGCCGTTTATAAAAATTGTGAAATGAATAATAATTATAATGTATGATTCAGTGATTCAATGCTGGGAGTTGAGACAACGTTGTATGGAAAATAAATGAAAATTATTTTTTAAATTAAATTAAATTAAATTAAATTAAAGAAAAAGTACTTTTTTAAATTAATTTGTTTAAAAAATGATAATTTTTGTTAGTAACTTCAAATAAAAATAGATTTTATAACGCTACACGTCTGTCTTTTATCATTCTCTCCCATAATCTAGAACCACATTTTGCACAGTTAATTAAGCTTAATGTTAACTTTTAAATTTGGATTTGGTAGATAGAAACAAATTTATAATTTAATAAAATTATCATCGATAAATAATACTAGAAAATGTCCAGAGTTGAAGTTTGAAATAATTCTAAATAAATTAGTTTAAATTAATTAAATAAATTAGAAAAAAACTTTTCAACATATACGACGAACCTGTGTAGACAACAGCAAGTACAACGCTCACAGAAACTGCTCCAGACACACCGCTAGCCGCTAAAATCAACGTCAAAGTATTCAAACCTCTGGCCTTTGGTGACACCGTCACCACTCTGTCGTTCTCCATGGCTTCTTATAATAATGATTAAGTTATAATTATAACTAAACTATAGTTATAACTAAAATGTAATTATAACTAAATTATAATTATAACTAAACTATAATTATAACTAAGCTATAATTATAACTAAATTATAATCATAACTAAATTATAATTATAACTTAATTATAATTATAACTAAATTATAATTATAACTAAAATGTAATTATAACTAAGCTATAATTATAACTAAATTATAATTCAATGCTGATATTTTCGAAAATTATATCCTCTGATGGAGTATGGTTGTACTGAATAGCTTGATGAAGCTTCCATGGACAAAATGTATGCAATGTTCAGTGATGGCTGTGAGGATGGGTTCGTAACAAATCAAATTAAATATCTTTAAGGTGGGAAGCATCAGTTGCAACAATTACATATATCGATTACACATAATTATATCAGTGTACCTATACAACTATAAACACACACACGCACGCACAAACAAACACACACACACACACACACACATATATATATATGAATCTTGAAATGCAGTCAACTAGTTAAAAATAAACAACATTGCAGGCGTCGTCTGCTTAAATTCTTACTCGCGTAAATCCATGATCGAATATGAAATGCAACGTACTGTAGCAATGATACACAATGATATTCTTGCACCCCATTCGCGCGCGCACACACACACACACACACACACACACACACACACACACACACACACACACGTTCATCTATTATGATTTTCGTTATAAGGCTATACCTGAGTGTTGTTAATCAAACGTTGAAACTTACTAAAAAAAACGCCACGTATCAGTCAGTCAGGCAAGCAGGATGTTAATGACGTTGACTCGCTGCTTGTATCTGTGAGGGTTCATCGTAATCATACAAGATCGTTTTTTAATCGTTAGTTAAAGTTTTCAAAAAATTTGATATAAATACATAGTTGCACTCTTCACGGTTTAGAATCTTTTAAAAGCTGGCGACCCTTGACCTTTGACCATGAAAATAATCAGAATTTTGCCACTGTGGTGAGAAAGTTGGAAACGTTTTTAACTCGGTCAACGGTCAACCCAGCCGTCCATCCTTTCGAGGTTGGTAAATGGGTAGACGACGTAAGTTGTCGCAAGCTGGCTGGCGAGATGGCTCCGTGGTTCAAATGCTCGCCGAGTCAAACATCTCAATGACTATCATATACTCAGCGTATATGATGCGGTGCTTGCGCGTGCACATAAATACATGTGTACGTCGTGTGAAAAGGATAAACAGCCTTTGTGGCAAAAGATGGCTGCTTCAAATCAATAGATGAAGAAAAGAAGAACATAAAAGATATATAGATAACATAATATATCTATAACATTGTAAGTGGTTCTGCGTATGAAAGAGCTGCAATAATAAAAACTAATAAAAAAAAAACTCAACTTTCAAAGATTACGTTAACTTTATCTTCAACTCTAACTAAATATTCTATTGAGGGGCTCCAGCCCTCTTGTCCCCCTTCGGTAGGTCCCTAATGACACGACAATTTTTTTCACACATAAAATTGTAGACTTTATATTAATGACTATCCTTTGTTTCTAATTTTGAATACGTGTTGAAATTATTTCTGCAAACAAACACACATATACACACGCACAAACATGCATACGTAGAAATTAAACAAGAAAACAATATCTAACTTCAGAACAACACCAAATACCAATCATCTTCCTAATTTGAAAGATTGACAACTGTGCGTGTGTGTTAGTGTGTGTATGTGTGTGTATTTATGTGTGTGTGTGTTTGTGTGTGTGTGTGTGCGTGTATGTGTGTGTTTAAAGGTGAATACAGAGTTCTATTAACTGAATACACCGCAAATATAATAGTATTACGTGTTAATATATATATATATATATATATAAATAAATAAATATATATATATATATATATATATATATATATTGCTAAATATTTCGTAACAATAATCGTCACCCATTATTATTATTATTGTTATTATTGTTATTATTATTATTATTAATATTGTTATAGTTGTTGTTGTTGTTGTTGCTGTTGTTGTTGCTGTTGTTATTTTTTGTGATGGTGGTATAAATATTATTGTTATAATTATTATCCTTATAGTTGTTATTATTATTACTGTTATTATAGGCATTATAATTACAATAATAATAATAATTATTATTATTATTATTATTAACCCGACTAGCTATATTTTTAAAAGCAGTGAAGCGATTGAATTCAGCTTACTCACATACTTAACTCCTAATTCAGACCGCTCATTTAATTACTCTACTAAATAATAAATTAATAATAAAAAAAAATCTAGTAATAACAATAATAGTGATAATATTACGGATAATAATGATAATAAGAATAAAAGAACTTTTATTTTTATCGTCACAGGTTTGTATGTATCCTTCACGTTGCAATCACTGACAGAGCAACCAAGTTTTTATTTAAGTTCAGTTTTAGTTAGTAAACTAATTTCATTCAATCACGACTCTCAGGATTGCTGTACGGATCACTGAAACCATCCCAGGAAGGATTTTTAGGATTTACATGTGCGTGTTAATGTTGGAAAAGTTAATGAACAAAAATTGTTTTAAAAAGAGTTATGGCAAATATAAGTAATTAAAGTGTAATAATAATAATAATAAAAATTATTATTATTATTATTAATTATTATTATTGTAAGTTTTTTGACTGATTCCAAATTTTTAAGAAGTGTGATTGTGAATGGAGTATAAAAGACCGTAGAAATAAAATTGTAAAGATAATTTGTGTTAATATGTAAAAATATAGATATATATATAATGGATTTGGCAAGTCTCATATGTATATATATATATATATATATATATATATATATATATATTCGTATATCGGTCAAAATAAATTTTGCAAAAAATCTTGATCCATAGAACCAAAAACGTCAATGAAAAATTAACTTTAAAAAACCATGGGTAACAACAATCAAGTGACAAATCTCACACTACAATCTTCCTAAACTGCTGTTTCTAATGGCTCATCACCGTCGAGCTGACAGGCGGCACGAAATGAGGATGGTAAGTGCAGATTTGAGGAGAGTGTCCAGCATGCCTTTTCATAGCTAGAAGCAAACTTTAGTTAAGTGATATTGGCCTAACTGTGTGAGTGTGATTGTTATTTTTATTATTATTGTTGCTGTTGTTGTTGTTGTTGTTGTTTTTGCTGTTGTTAATGGTATTATTATATTGTTGTTGTTGTTGTTAATGTTATTATTATATTGTTGTTGTTGTTAATGTTATTATCATATTGTTGTTGTTGTTGTTGTTAATGTTATTATTATATTATTGTTGTTGTTAATGTTATTATCATATTGTTGTTGTTGTTGTTGTTGTTAATGTTATTATTATTTTGTTGTTGTTGTTAATGGTATTATATTGTTGTTGTTGTTGTTAATGTTATTATTAGATTGTTGTTGTTGTTAATGTTAACTTTATTATTACATTGTCTTTGTTGTTATTAATGTTATTATTCATCGTAAACATTGTTATTTATAGGTTGTTACTAATAATACTGCAACGAACGAAGTCGTAACGAATTAACGAACTCAATCAACTCGCTCGAGAGTTGCTAACAAATAGTTGCCAGCCAGTCTGGTAGCTA